TTGCTGGAAGAAACATCGCCTTCAAGGTGGACACTGGTTCACAGGCTAACCTCCTATCCTTCTCGGTGTACCGCAAGATTCCAGGGGCGGTAAAGTTAACGCCCACAGGTGTGGTGCTGCGAGCTTACACCGGGGGGCGTGATTACTCACTTTAGAACGATGCAACTGAAAATCAGTCTCGACAACTCTTCCACCACAGTGAAATTTTTCGTCATGAAGAATGGCCGTCAAGCCCTACTGGGACTGGAGGCAAGCGAAGCATTGGGGCTCGTTCAACGGACGGTGGCCAGTGTCAAGGCTTCACAGTACGAAGCATTTAAGGATTACAAACACGTCTTCCAGGGGCCAGGCTGCCTAAAGAAGCCCTACAGCATAGTCATGTAACCTTTAGCAACGCCAGTCGTCCAACCAGCCCGGCGGGTTCCCCTGTCTCTGTGAGAGCCACTCCGAGACGAACTTCAAACAATGGAGCGTACAGGTACATCATGAAAGAGGATGGGCCCACAGACTGGGTAAGTCTCTTGGTCTTAGCTAAGAAAAAAGATGACAGGCTTCGTATTTGCATGTACCCAAGAAAGATAAACGAGCGTGTCAAAAGACAGCATTATCAGCTCCCAAAGCGCGAGGACATGGAAGGGGAATTAGCAGGTGCAGCCTATTTTAGCTGTCTAGACACAAATTCTGGTTTTCACCAGATTTTGCTGGACAAGAAAACGTCCAAAATATGTACCTTTGAAACCCACTTTGGAAGATATCGTTATCTGCGGTTGTCGTTCAGCCTTTTGTCGGCCCCCGAAGTTTTTCAAAAACAAATGAGCGAGATCTTCCATGGCCTTCTTAATGTACACGTGTACATTGACGATATTTTGGTGTGGGGGGCAACCAAAAAAGAACACGACCAAAGACTAGTGGCAGTCATGAAAGCGGCTGAAAAAGGGGGCCTCACATTCAATGCGAAAAAATGCCGCTTTGGCGTCACTGAAGTGCAGTTCCTAGGTGACATCATTACTCGCGAAGGCTTATCACCAAACCCTAAACTTGTAAAAAGTCTGATTGAAACATCCGTGCCTAAAGACAAATCAGATGTGCAGCGCATGCTTGAATAGATTTGCACAATCGATATGTGGGGTTTAACGTCCCAAAACCACTATATGATTATGAGAGACGCCGTAGTGGAGGGCTCCGGAAATTTAGACCACCTGGGGTTCTTTAACGTACACCCAAATCTGAGCACACGGGCCTACAACATTTCCGCCTCCATCGGAAATGCAGCCGCCGCAGCCGGGATTCGAACCCGCGCCCTGCGGGTCAGCAGCCGAGTACCTTAGCCACTAGACCACCGCGGCGGGGAATATATAGATTTGCACAAGACTCACCCAGCAGGAGAGACACATACCATGGTAGCTCCGCCCAGCCCAGCATTATTTGTGTTACTCATGATGCACTAAAGAATGTTTGCTTACTAATCACTCTATAAAAGCAGATGGCGTCATACATGCAGAAATGAACATAAATATCACTTAATTATTGCAAATGCCGACTTCTACAATGGTGGCACAATGAGCATTACAAATAGGACGGAGTAAATATATAAAATTGTCCCTTGCTTCTATGAGACAACACTAGCTATGACAAGAGATACAGTGATATATGGAGCAAGAGAAAGCACACGCGAAGCGACCAGAAATCTTTGTTCACTCCCTCTCTAAAACCACAAATGATTATATTGAAGGCAGGCTGCACAAACTGCCAATTCAAATGGTGGCTGTGGTGCGAAGGAACATCATAAGAGAAGGCAAACTCCCCATGAAACCTCCTTTAACCTCGATGTCTATGCACTCTTATTCCCCTCTCGTCTGTATGGGAGTGCTTATTGGATTAGCGTTTTTTGTATGGAGCACTCCCTTAAATCACCTCCTTTCTCCCTCTTTCATTTACTTTCCAGCTACTTGAGTGCACGACATTCCCGCACTTTCTTGCGTCCTTTTCTTCCAGATCGCACAGTGCTGTGCGCTTGGAGTGGATTAAAATCTACTAGCCAATGAACTTTATATGAACTACAGCACTGACGCCTATAGTGAGATATAACGTAACAAGTCCCGAGAGGCCCTGCAAAGCATATCTAAGGGTGGCAACTGGTCACTTCTACGACTAAAGAAATGGTACCGCTTATGCACATGGCTTTGTTCCTAGTGAAACGTGAGTGGAGTCACCCGCCACCCAGCTCATTATGTCAGCCTTGAGCAGATCGCCGCAGGCTTCGAAAGTTGTATCTGACAATAATTTGCTTCTACTATGAATGTTTGTGTTAACTTATTCTCCCCAATTTTTTTTATATTGCTACAAAGCATAAAGATCACGTGTAGACTACATAATCAGATCTCAATTACTACACAATGAAAACGTGAACAGGTGATGGCTTGCTTAACGATATAATGGTGCCCCATCTCAACGTGTGCTCATGTGAATGCACAAAACATTTCGAGCTGACAAAGCAGAGGTGCGGCTGCCCATCAGTACAAAAAAGTTTTTTTTTTTTTTGACACTCCTAGAATGGTGCATATTTGGCTAATGAATGAAGTTAACTATAAGAAAGAACGTATATAAATAACCAAACAATCTGACTACACTTTACAGCATGTAGAAAATTTCTCTGTTCACGATATCGAAGCTGTGGAATCCCGACTAGGCCCACAGCTTTGATGTCGTCATACACAGTTCAACACTGCCACATTGCTTTGGAACGGCCAGTCAAGTGAGCCTTTAATAAATCTGGAACACCAGGACTCGCCCTGGCGCAGTCGCTCATGTTCGCACTTGATGTGAGTGCTAGAGTCTTTTATACAGATTATTCAGATCCTCATTGTCATTATCCCACACAGTGCATGACAACACTTCTAAATATTCTTTGTCTGGAAAAAATCTCCCTTTGTTATCACAAATATTAGTTTCACCCCCAGAATTATTTAGCCTAGAATTTATGTTTATTTTTACAGGTAGCAATCAGTCTGACTCCACGATATGAATTACCCTCTACTTTCTCATCTTTACGAAACGTTTACAGAGGTTATTCGTTATTTCTAATGACCTATAAATTATGATGCAGTATAAAACCCTGCCCAATTTCAAAATAAAAATAACAGAAAGTCTTTTATGAAAAAAAAGAAGGGATCTTGCTAGAAAACTACATGGCAGTGCATAGAGACAAAAAATTCTGCTCTATTAATGTATGTGTTAAAACATATGCCCCTACACATGATCAAAACCTGGGACAGATAGCATTTTTGGGCAGCTTTAATAATGAGAAGAATAAAATGCCATACAGCAGCATAAATACTTCAAAAAAACATGTCAGAACACTTGATACCAGTAAGGTTCTGGAATCTCTACCCATCAGTTCTATAAAGCTTCCAAAGGGGGAACCTGTGAGAGACATTTATTTGTTGTTGGTGTGTTAAAACGAATTAGGAAAAAGTCACTCCCACCTAAATTCTCAATAACTTTCTATGTAAGGAGAGACACAATGACTAGAGGAGCAATTTTGAGATCATTCCTATGCATATTAATTCATTTTAGAAAAGTTGACCTAACCCTCAGCGGCTATCAGTGTGAATAAGACATATGGTGCAATTGTACATATTCTCTTTTTCACCGTCATGCTTTATCAGTAGGCTTGTGCAAATAGTAATTTTTAGGTTTGAAACGAGTTCGAACAAATAGTCATTTAGGAGGAATAATTTCCACTGAATTCGAATAATATGCATCACAAGTTATAAAAAAAATGGGCATATTTGTAATCCCCTATTTAACCTGTAAAATATACATAGATATTGTAAGACAATGTTTAGGCTGCAAGACACTCAGTGTAGCGATTTGAAGCCAGCGTGTCGATAACTGCAACATGGGATAATGTGAGGGGTGATGCAGTGTTCCACCCATGAGACGAGCAATCAGCAGACATACTCGATGATGACAGTGGAAGGGTGATGACAGCGAGAAAGATTGTCTCCATCTTGGTGTTCCTTGACAGACTTGTAGATGACGTCAAAATCATATTCTTGTAAGTGGAGAACCCAACAACCGAAGCGACCAGACAAGTTTGGCAGCGGTGAAAGCCAGCATAGGGCGTGATGGTCTGTAATAACTGTGAAGTGGCATTCGTAAATATATGGTCGAAATTTTTGTATGACCCAAACAAGAGCGAGGCACTCCTCTCAGTTATCGAGTAGTTCTGTTCAGCAGCCATGAGAGCACGTCAAGCATATGCAATAACTCTCTCTCATGAAGTGACATCCCGGTGTAGAGGAACTGCACCAATGCCATGATCACTCGGGTCAGTGTGCAGACATGTAGGTGCGTTCTCGTCAAAGTGACACAGAACAGGGTCGGATGTTAAAGCATGCTTGGGGGCTTGAAAGGCATGCTCACAGTCGTTGTTCTATGTGAAGGTAGATCCTCGCGTCTGCAGCTTCTGCAATGGTGACGCAATGGCAGCAAAATGACTGATGAAGCAGCCGAAATAGGACGCCTGGCCCTGTAACATGTCGGGTGTCTGACAAAAAACAGAGGCAACTACATGCTGACGGGAACAAGAAGAGCGGCAGGGTTTATTAACGCGTCCTTATATAGGTGGTGGGGGCGGGGCAGTCTCAGTGATAAATGCACGGATCACGATAACACAGTCAACACACTCACACGATAACACAGCGCATGTCCGATACATCCCCTGGGGGGTAATGAAAACAACAGTTCAGGGCAGTTGATTGAAAGAAGCATCGTAATGAAATTTCTTTGGAGGCTTGACTGTACAGGCACACCTTCGTGGGCCCAGTGTACGACCTGAAGAAGTTGGCGACTCGTGGCGCGGTGCTATGCTGTCGGTGGTGGACTGTTGTCGCGGCGAGCGGCCTGGTGATCGTGCTGCGGCAGCTGGCAAGACGTCTAAAGTTGGTGAGGTGGGGTCATCTGGCTCACCTTTGGAATAACTGTCGCGCTAATGTCTACAGCACAACTCTCACCGGTTTGCAGAAGATGAGCCTGTTGCGCCTGAACAGCTGATGATATTTAGTTTGAACTTTGTAGGACCTGGGCACAGCAGTTGTGACGACTTGCCCTTTCTGTGTCCATGTTTTGTCCCCAATACTCACGTCCGATTCTTTAGCCAAAGGCGATAGGGGCTTTCCGCTGCTCTTCAGCTGGTGCTTCTTCACGACGGTTGTTGGCACTGCAGAAAAATTAGGAAGATTAGCTCTCGGGCATCTGCCCTGCAGAAGTTCCGCTGGCGATAGGCCGTTCTCCAGTGGCGTACAGCAGTAGGCCTGCAGACCCAGCCAGAAGTTTTCGTGTGCGTGCACACATTCTTTCATTATGCGCTTGACAACCTGGACCCCTTTTTCCGCTAGGCCATTAGATTGTGGGTAGGGAGGGCTGGACGTAACATGACTAATATCGTATTTTGTTACAAAGGCTGCACACTCGTGACTTACAAATTGTGGCCCATTGTCGGTGCACACTTCCATGGGTACCCCGCACCGTGCGAACATGGCACTAAGCGCCTTGATGATCATCCTCACAGTGGCATCGGCAAGTTTCTTGACTTCAGGGAAGTTACTAAGTGCATCAAACGCCACAATGTATGAACTTCCTGCGAAAGAAAAAATATCTACACCAACTTGATACCATGCACAAGCACGGAATGGGCGCATCAGCAGTGGCTCCTGCTGTTGCTTATAAGCGTATTCACAACACGTGGGGCAACTCTGGATCATAGTAGTGATATCATGGCTGATTCCAAGCAAAAAAAAAAGACGACAGGCCCTTTCTTTGCATTTCTTAAGACCCAGATGCCCCGCATAAATTTTTCCTCAATTGACATGGTTGTGAGCAAATATATCAGTGAAAGTTCTGCTGGTCAAGATTTTTGTCAAGCCACACTTGACAAGTTATTCCTTGAGAATTGTGGCAGTGCTATTTTATGTAGGACCTCATACAAGCTGTGAATCTAGTCGCGATACTTTGGTATCATTACTGGGAGCAGAGCATTGTTATGAATGCTGTAAGATGTAACATTATTGTTTTTACACCACTCTAGTGTTCACAGAGTGCTTGTGTTGTCCTTTCATTTTGGTGTTTGTCATTGCACCCTGTGTGTGCTGCCATGTGCAGTAATGATGTACCAACGAGCCTACAGGCAGATTGTTATTATAAAGAAGTCTTATTGCAATAACTATTATATGGACTGTACCAGCAAACTCTTGACATCAATTTCGTGGTCCATGTATGAACTAATTCTATCACATCCTACACTCGTAATGCTCGGGAATCTTCTAGGGTAGGGGGAGACCTCGATCATCACCTTTAAGAGTAGGTCATGATAGTGTAATGGCGCCTCATGCACATCACCTTCCGAGCTGCTAGCCTGCTTTGGTTCTCGGTGCATGTCTCAACTGTGCCATAAGTAAAGTAATGACTGCACTCATAACATTGGTCGCTTCAAAATCTTATTGAATGAATATTGGAAGCATTACTCTCAAGTGTCCATTATGGCATAATTAGTATTCCTGTTGCGAATCGGCGAAGGGCCCACCACGCAACCGTTGGGCAACACATGGAGCTACGAAACTGTTCACTTAGTTGATGGTTCTGCTGCTGCTGCTGACTAATTATGTCTGAGCGCTTTGAGGGATGGGCCTTTCAAACTCCCTCTGGTTGCTCGATTCACATTATTTGACACCTGACACTACTCTGTGCTTTCTTTTAACACCCCCAAACAAGCAGGCCAATTCGTACAACCGTGAAAATCACATTTTCCAAATATTATAGCGCCACGCAGACCTTCCATTTTGAAAAACAATTCCCGTGCCTCTTTCCTTGTGGCCCTCATACGTGCAGTGACGCAAGACTATGGGCAACTCCACTTACCACTGAGTTTATTAATTAAGCCTTTGTTCTTTGAAACAGTGCTTTATGCCTGCAATGATACAGTTTCAGCCACGCAGTTCGCATTTTAATTTTCCTGTGCTCTCTGCTGTTTTGTAGAGCACGAGACTATTGAGAGAAGTGGTATTGCCGGAATGATAACCTCCAAAATGAAGGGACATCTCGCTACTTTACCACTAGAAGATGGGTGCTCGTTGAAGCACGCTTCCTCCTCACTCCAATATGACACGTGCTCATGTCAGGGAATGCCCTGCTTGGTCACTAGCTGCACGCTGATGTATTGCTGACGCCGTGTCACGTTGTAGTGGGCAGAGTCCTGACAAAAACAGGTTATGCCTTCCCCTCCCTATGGCAGAGAAGGGTGGCAAGGCTGCAAAAAATTTTGAAATTAGCTGAAATGGATGTTCTCACCCCTGTAACTTCCTTATTATAGCATGTATCAGTAAAATGCACTGCTACTTCCACCCACTTGAACGTCTCGTCGCCTGTTAAATATTAACAGCGTTCAACGCCTTCACTGTTCCACTCATGCTTGTCACAAATCGTTTCTCCCAGCTGCCATCAAGGACTGGAATCGCCTTCCTGAAGCTATTGCCCTTGAAAGGAATTCCAAAAAGTCGAAGCAGTATTTAAGTATGCTTTTTGCTAAATTACTTTAATTATGCTTATTTTATTTTCTTGCAATATTTTTCTTCTCATTATTATGCCATTATATTGGGGAAAACAAGGGAAGAAATGCTGTATTTAATGTTTTGTACACTACTAAGGCTTGTGTCTTCGTCTTTTTTATTTTTTTTTTTTTAATTCAGTTTTAGCTCCCAGCATCATTATGCTCTATGCCTTTTCATCTCATCGACATTGCTTGGAAATATTCTTTTTTTTTGCGCTTTGTACGTTCTGTCACACTGTTGGGTTTTCTTATATATAACCAACTACTCAATTATGTGTCAGTTCAACTCTGTAGCCTCCGCACTGCCCCCTTTTATGCAATGCTTTGTTTAGGGTCCTTAATGGTTAATAAATGTTGATGAATTATGTGTTTAGTCTTAAGTCACCTGATCAGTTCTGAAGGTACATTTTGTGACATTTAATAAAACTTTGTGTTTTGTAAACATTATGCATTTTCGGTATTTCCATGGTCCTACAAAAGGTATGTTCATAATACTTTTCATGCAGGGGAAGTTGAGTGATGGCTGTGATGCTCTTATTTGCTGCTATTGAACTGCCCCACAATGTACAATTTATCTAAGAGCATAATGAGTACGGCAAGCATATATTCGAAGAATTCAAGGTTTTGCCCTGGTCAGAGCTTTATTTCAATGTGTTTTGCCCATGAGCACATGGATTTTTGTCAACCTCAAGACTGCAGTCCTCTGTAAGTCCGTCAAGATGTGAATGCTCTCATCGCTCCTATTAGTTCAGCACATTTGCATGGATCAGTCATTTAATGTTGGTTGTGCAAGGAAAAAAGGCCCAGTTAACAATTATTAACTGTTATGAGCACAATTATAAATTCCTTATCAATGTACATGTATTGTGATGATTAACAAATCAAGATTGCCTTTTATTGACATCTAATGAGGCTTAATGTATAGAGAAGAAAAAAACTAAAAAAAATGTAAGTATAATAAAACTTCCTACATTTCCCCTGTAGAGATAGCCAATGATAATTAAATTTACTTTTACAAAATCATTTTGTGTGCTTAGAATTGACTCTCAACTGATGTGTCAATTTCTCAGAATGTGCAGAAAATAAAGTGCTTTTGAATACACATTCAAAGAAACCACATTTGCTTTTAGAATATTGGTGAACATAGGCAGATGTACATGAACATATGAATGTCATTGAAAACAAGATATTGGTAATTTATGTGTTCCACTCTTTCTTTTATACAAGCCCATACCAAGTCTGTTGTTTGGAGAGCCAAGATCATATGACATTTACTCCAAAGAGTAACTTGTGCACTGGAATTTACCACACCATAAAACTACTCGAACACTAAAGGTTTTTTTTTTAAACCCCATAAAAAAAGGTCTGTGACTGTACCTGATGTTAGTTTTGCTCTGTTAACATTCCAAACAATAGCTCTTTATTGTGCATTTTTGTAGCGTTGCCAATTGCTACTCTTAACTAACACCGCACTTGACCTGACAAATAGACCTTTACAAATCTGTACTGATTTTGAGCTGCATTTATGGGAAAGTCATGAACGGCGATCCCTGTTATCAAAAGAAAGACTGAAGTTATACCACAATTTTTATTATTGGGGAATTGTAGCTACCATAGCAACGCTCCCATAGGGCAAGAGAAACTTGATGGAGCACTGCTCAAGGTAAATACAACAAAATGAATATGTTTACCAGGCATGGAAAAGTAAGGCTTTTGCTCTAAAGAAGAGAACTGAACCTGGAATACTACAATCTACCGTGCAATCTGACATTTTAATCAAGAGCTGGCCCTCAGAGGTGTATGCACCATTTTCCGGTTATCGATGCCGGTTATCGGAAAAGGGCTTGTCGGGGATCAGCTGTTTATGATACCGCAGTCTGATCTTTTATCGAGGCGACTTGTCACCTGCCACATTTCACTGCTGCCTGTATACGAACACACGACTATCGTTATTGACTGTAGCAAGTGAACTGTTCTACTGCCAAGTGACCATGTAGATGAAGGTCCCATTCCTGGCATTGAAGAAGAAAAGAGTTGCAATGAAGTGTCGCGCAACGTAGTACAAAGGAAGTAGTAACTGGGGCAAGCACATGCGAAGCTTTGCTTGCTCCCAATTTCTGGAAAGGGCAGTGACTTCCGAGTTTTTTTGGTCCCATTTTTGATTACGGCACTTCGTTTTGAGCTTACTGTTACACTTTGGCTAACACTTTTGATAGGTGGCATGAAATAGAATGAAATTATAGTACCAGAGAGCCAAAACCGCATATCTGTGTCCGTGTTTTAGATGTGGTTGCGGATTTTAAAACTGCTGGCTCGCATCGTGGTTGGCCAAAGTCAATGCTGGCGAAAGGCTACAGCGAAATTTGACACTAGTGCGGTAGGCTTGATTATGAATATGAACGGCGACTTAAGGCGAGTCTTCCGGGTCGCAATTGCCACAGACACCGGCAGCATTCGACTTACAGGACAGGTTGATACTGGACAAGTGGTGAAAAAATTAAGATTAACAGTAAACGCAACGGAGAGAAAGATAACATTCACTGACATAGACCGCCAGCCATTGTATCACCGCTATAGAGGTTGGAGATGCAAGCAATAACAATAGATAAAATGTTAGGGTGAACAACCTTTGTGTGTTGGTATTGTATGGTCTGTGGTAAAAGGCACAAAGAAGATGATGAATAAAAGAAAAAGGAAGCTTGCAAAATAAAAGAGACGCAACAATGTTAGGAATGACAGAGAAGGTCACCTGGAAATACAGTGCAGAGATAGCAATTAGGTGAGGTGTGTAACGAATTTCCACACATGCCTTGTGATTTCTAAGAGTCAAGATAAACGTAATGGAACAATTGAGGGAAAAAAAATTACTGACGCAGGTGATCGTCGCGCAAGTGTGGTCTCCATATCTTTATCGCAGAACAAGCTGCACTATGTGAATGCGACTGCACAGTGATGAAA